CTTTTTTTTAAACCGATTCTCATCTTTAAGAATTGAACGGAGTTATATATCGCTAAATATCGTTATCTCACTCGTAACGCGGCGAATTCTAAATTAATTTAAAACGCGCGATTTGTTAACGCAATATGTTCAATATCGCGAAACCACTTATTCCGTATCTTCTCGCAATTTTACTATCTACAATTATGGCCGGCATTTGTCTCTGAATATACATACGAGTGGACTGGTATGGTAGTTTTCAAGGCGAAAGGAGGGAAGGCCAGATAAGGTAATGTCTTGGCAATGGTACATGTGCTTTCGTTCACACGCGGATACGAATGATCTGTACCGATCATTATCTAACATGTCCCGGTATAACACAATTATTTGCACCGGTAGTACAACTGGCCGAGTTCCATGCAGATATCTATTTCGACATAACGCGGTATACGTACTCGAGAGAGGCTGGGCAAAGGGGGGAGGGGAAAAAAAAAAAAAGGAACGCCAACCGTGTGTCTTTATAACCGTGCGTCTTAAAACCTGCTTCTCTAAACTTTATCTAAACAATGCTCCGTAATAGGGCCTACATCGTTGAGATAATTGTCAACGTATCGAGCGTTGCCACCGATTGTGAAAATTCGACCATTTATTTTTGATCGATGAAATCTAAGGAATGCAAATTTTCTTTTCTTTTTTTCGTTGAAAACAAATTTTTTGCACACACGGGACAATGCAACGTTTTTAAAAATATTATATTAGATAGATAGATTATATTTCCACTCGTGTTTCTCGTATTCATATTCCTTCCATTCCTTATTAATACACCGAACCCGTAACTTTCTACTCTCGTTATCGAAAACGGGGACTACGATTATCTCGAAATGATCAGTTTCAAAATATGCGCGTCTATAAAGAAACCGTAACGACTCACTTAGTTAACTTCTTTATGGTGTTCTTACGGAGCCGACAGATCCCACTTGCCGCTTATTAAGTTTAAGAAATTACACGAGGGATTTATCCAATCTCTGTCACCAGAGATCGATCATCGATCGATACTCGACGCGCTCTATATACATAAAAATCAGCAGAACAGAAAAGAAATCTTTGATTTGGCCGTTCGAAAAACGTTGAAAATCGAGGAGAGGGATTTGATGCC